GGGCTCCTGTGATGGGACTGGTTGTACTGGGAATGTGCTGGGGTGCTGGGATCTCCGTGGACAGCTCCCAAACCCGGCTCCAGGATGAGCTGGGGAGCAGGGAAGGAGTTGGGAGCTCTCTGTGTGAGATTTGGGTGCCAGCTGGAGAACAGGGAAGGAATTTGGAGCTCTGTGCCCAGGATTTGGGTGCCAGTGGAGGCTGAGGAGCAGGGAAGGAGTCTGGAGCTCTGTGTCCAAGATTTGGGTGCCAATGGAGGCTGAGGCGTCGGGAAGGAATTTGGAGCTCTGTATGAGAGATTTGGGTGCCAGAGCTGGGGAGCAGGGATGGAGTTTGGAGCTCTGTGTGTGAGATTTGGGTGATAGAGCTGGGGAGCAGAGGAGGAGTTTGGAGCTCTGTGTGTGAGATTTGGGTGATAGAGCTGGGGAGCAGAGGAGGAGTTTGGAGCTCTGTGTGTGAAATTTGAGTGCCAACAGGAGCAGGGAAGGAGTTTGGAGCTCTGTGTGTGAGGTTTGGGTGCCAGCAGGAGCAGAGAAGGAGTTTGGAGCTCTGTGTGTGAGGTTTGGGTGCCAGCAGGAGCAGAGAAGGAGTTTGGAGCTCTGTGTGTGAGATTTGGGTGCCAGCAGGAGCAGGGAAGGAGCTTGGAGCTCTGTGTGTGAGATTTGGGTGCTGCAGGAGAGCAGGGAAGGAGTTTGGGGCTCTGTGCCCAAGATTTGGGTGCCACTGGAGGCTGGGTCCTGGCTTGGCTGCTGCACAGGAGGGATTTGTTCCCTCCTAGCCCAGTCCTGCCCCTCGGGATATTTCTCTGAGATAAATCCCTGCCTGTCCCACCCATCCCCGGGGCCAGGTGAGCTCCAGGAGGGATCTGAGGTTTGTCCCCTACCTCCCTCGGGCAGGGACTGGTTGAAGATGCCCTCGATGGTCTCGCAGGAGCTGCCGTCCCCCCCGCACACGCGGCACTTGTCCTCCTTGGAGTCGGAGCCCAGGACGCGATCACAGCCCACGTGCTGCGGGAAGGAATGAGCCATCCTGGGGCTGATGATCCCATCC